GGATGCTCTAGACTGACACATTTGTCATACAGAAACCTGTCATTAGCATAAATGCTATTTAGATTATGGCAATATAAGAAATGGATGCAAGAAGGGCACAAGCAGGCTAGAAGCAGCAATAACCCTCACCTTCGTTTTGGGCATCCTGCAGTAAGCAAAACCTCCATCTCAATGACAAATCTATTGGGCACTGTGTGACATGAAAGGCAGTAGAAAAATTAAGTGCTAATATAGCAGCCACTTAGACCTCTGGGAGGGAAGGGAGTTATATAACTAATAATCTTTTCACTGTTCAAGAGTTTCCACATGCTAGCAGAATATGGGTTCCAGATGCCATCTTTTCCTAGGAGTCTAATTTCACTGGAGTTATTATTTCCTCAGTATTACGCAGCTACCCACAGAGAAAGATAACTTTGGTTCTTCTGTCGCACTCAGTGTATTTTGGATATAGATACTTGAACAGGAAAAAATGGAAGAAATGTATCTCCGTCCATTCAGAGGACTTATGTTTAAGTACAGGCTTTTGAATTGGACCCATATTCTTAATGCACAAAGCACACTTTGAACAACAGACGTGTGTGACTTGAGTGATAAACTTGAATTAATGAAGCCTTTAATCTACAGCACTGCCTGCAGCAGTGATTGGCACTAACTGCTTAATGCAACCACACTGGGGCTGGGAAGAGTGGGTGAGAAGCCCTCACTCTGTAGCCTCCCCTTTCAGTTACCCATATCTAAGCCCACCCTCTCATAGCAACAGCTACAGCAAAGAATATCAATGTCATAGCACAAATGTGCAAGTTCAGTCTGAAAAAATAAATCATGGCATGTAACACTAAGCCTGGGCTCTAGCAGGCATAAATCAGCACGTCTTTTTGCTCAGTAGGCCCAAAGGTTTTAGGCTTCTCCCAAAAGGTGTGACTGACATAAAAGTTACTAAGATCCCGCTATGCTTACCTAAGGTGATGAATCCCTCCTGTGCTTCACTGAGTTCAGATGTTCAGAAATCTTTTCTGTAATTCATTTAAATTGGCTTGGTTTTTATACAAATGTCTTATTTCCATAATTGTCTATGTGGTATATAAATGTGCATGTTTACAAGCCTCCCGCATAATAAAATCACAATTTATGATGCATTTAAGTAATGGGCAAAATTACAATGAAAGCAAAAATGTTGCATATGAACAAAGAGAACAAGTGAAATTAACCTCTTTGCCGTAAGAGCTACTTCTGACTACTTCTGGTTGCTAACACTTCATTCATTAATGCAGAAATAATACATCCTCTGTTTAAGAAGCAAAGGCTGAAATAGTTCAAAGTGTGATCTGGCTTTCTTGTTTTCAACAGCAGTGTGAGGATTATGGAGCACACTTTCTAATAATAAGCCTTTAAAACTATGCTTAGACCTACTACTGCTACAATTGCCCACAGCACTGAGTCTCTAAGCAACGTGATTTACATCAGGTTTCTTTATTCATCTGGATCACTGTGGTTTGGCCCCTCTTCAGACTCTCAAATGATACCCACCCAATTCTCCAGTCCCATTCAATATTTGTTACTTGTGAATACCTTTCCAGATCATACCTTTCAGGGTTTTTTTACCTTTATACTCCCCTACAGTGACATCCAGCATCTATCTACCCAGGGGTTCGACAAGGGCTGTTCCCAGGAGGGTTGCTGGCTGCTTCCCACCTTGGGGGGACAGCGCTGAGGGCTCCACCTGCTTGATGCAGCCAAAACAACATATACTTCCCCAACCCAGCTATCTCTGTTTAAAGATGAAAACACATCAGAGGACAAAAGGGAAGGGATGAGGATTGTTAAAATACGGCTTCTGGGCAAAAATATGTCTAAAACAGGGAGTTTTGTCTCCCTTCCACACACAGGACTGTGCTAGGCCAAGTAAAAATCAAGTGTGGAAGGGATCTTGTAGGGACGAGAGCCCATATTCATCTGCTCAAAAAGACACCAATATCATCTATAACTGCCCCCCAAAAGAGACCTACTCTCAACCAATTAATGGCTTTATATTTCCTATGCCCTGTTCACCTCAAGGTGGTGTGAAGCCCTATATACAGTTTAGCCCTAACTTTAGGGGAAAAATAGGGTCCCTTTGAGAAAGGAGCATTATGTAAATGCCAGAATGACTGAACATCTCCAGGCACGTCTGCACACTTGTGGCCCCTGCAGTCATGGTGCCTGCTGGGCAGAAAGGTTGTTATGGCAAGAGCTATCTCCCCCAAGCTCACAATAAAAATAGCTTAACCAATAGTAGGAAAAAAAAAAAAAAAGGACAAAAGTCACTAACAAGTCAGTCTCAAAAAGGACATTACTAAGATGGGACCAGTGATGACTGAACAAGAAGAGAATTAAACCTCACATATCCATGAAGCAAATGCACCTTTTATTAATACTGCTCTCCAACCACAGGCTCCCAGCCCACACGGCTTTATGCAGAAAAAACAGCTCTTAATCAGAGCAGTATCGAGAATAATTTTTAAGCAGGATGCTCCTGTTTGCCTAGCAGAGTAAGCAGTGAAAGCTTCCCTCCAAGGTGACTTCCAACCAGAGTGAGCATTGCTCACCAGCTGGAACAGGACTGGCAGACAAATGCATCTTCCCTGCCACAGCCCAGCACCATGCAAGCCTAGACTCTGGCATCGGCGGCACCCAAGAGCTTTATCCCAGCTGAGGACCTCGCACAATACGTTAAAAGGTATTTTGGCCGCAGACTCATTTATTTGTGGGCATGTGTCCCCCCCAGCACATCTGAATTGTGCAGCACCAGAGACAACAGCTTGGCTAGCTCTGCACAATGCCTTGGTCTCTCCCTGCCCTTGGGGCGGACATGCTAAACCCCCCAGGCCATGATGCACACCTGGCAGCCAGCGCCAACAAGCACCCCTAGCCACGCTCTCTCCCTTGCCTCCTCTCCATGGTCTCTGCCTCCTTGCGTGGTTTCTTCCAGCTATCAGTTGTACAGCAGACCTGGAGCTCAGGGTTTCTCGTTCTTCTTACAAGAATGTCCTGAAGAAGGAAAGAGGGGGAGATGCAGGAGACCAGGTTGTGTGTAAGTAATCAGGGCCATCTGCTGCAGTTATGTACAAATCGCTTTGAAAATGGGAAGCAAAATCATGTCACTCTCGGCTGTGCTCTTCTAGTGTCCTCCCCATGGAGGCTGATGCTGCAGTGTACTGGGATAGGATGTACATTGTAGACAAAACAATTCCTCTGGCTAATTTGATTAAGTCTCAGGTGCTGCCCCCCCAGAGAGCATCCCCATCACGCGACACAGCAGTGACAGCCGTGCTGGCTCCAAACACCTGGTCTATCTGTGCAGCAAAAGGCAGCACGGTACAGAGGTAAGGTCTGGGCCCCAAGGGTAGCACCTAGCTGTGGCCAGACCGATTGCCTATTGTCCCCTTCAGCAAGCGACGCGCCGGAGGGAGCCCGCTGGCTGTACAGCCACCCTGCTCCTCACCCCTCGCGCAGCTCCGGCCGGCAGCAGTGCGAGGGCAGCACCACGCTCCTGTTTCATCCTGCCCTTCATGGACGGCGGCACAGCCGATGCAGGAGCAGCACGGTGCGCTCCTTCAGAGGAACAGCGAGGTGAAAACCCACTGAAGGCGATGTGCAAAGAACTGCTCCGTAACAGACTGGAAGCCCTTTTTTTACGAGCTCTTTGGAGGATCAGAAGTCCTCCCCTCCCACCTCTACAGCCACAGTAAAGAGCTGCAGCTCCTGGTCTCATCATCCCTCCAGCCCTCTGCAGCTTCACACCTGCATTACGTGCCTTTAGTGAAGCAAAGAGTCAAGATGTCAGGGATGAAGCCAGAGCAGAAATGTGCTTTGTTACATGTCAAAAGGGCAAGTGAAGAAAGCAGGTTTTTTTTTAATTTTCCTTCCCAAGTCACCTTCCTAAAGTGTAATTTCTGGTGTAAGTAAAAGCCTTCTGGTCTGAACTATGTACACACTTCCCAACACATACTCGTTCTCTAGTTATGTGACTCCTCTTCAAAGCTTGGTTGAAATATACTCCGCAAGGCCACTCTGATTCACTGGCCTTAAGAGCCAAGTACTGCCTCCAGTGAATTATGAAACAAACTCTGACAGTTTTTAAGCCATCCCAGTATTGTCCCAGCATAAGATTTTACTTCCAAGGTATGCATACACAATTGACCATAACCAAAAGCATTACTTAAGGATGAATTTAGCTTAAAAAAAAAAAAAAGAGAGTTTGGCACTACAGTGGTATAATTTACAAGCTACTTCCCTCTGTCTCTGAAGATAAAAGTCACCCTCAGGCTGCTGATGAACTTACCAGGTACATGTTAATAACTGGGGGAAAATTCATCTGAAGTACCAGACAATACAAGCTGTCATGCAGAACTGCCAAAGCAATTTAAAAGTTTTGAACCCTGGCTTTGTGCATTAAGAACGGGGAAAGGACAGGATTTCTACCTGCAAAAGAGAATGCAGTGGACTGGCCATTAACCAAAATGTTTCAAAACAGGATGATAATAGATCCACAGGGAACCAGTATACCAGCAGTAAGTGTTCAGTGCTGCAGTGAAGCACCAGGCAACTTTCCCACCAACAGCCAGCTATTCTTACAGCACACATTAGTCTGCAGGTGTATTCAGACAAATCCCTTGCTTTCTAGAAAGACGAAAATGCAAAGCAGCATGTCCAACAGCACAGCTCCTCTGCTGTTCTGGCTGAAAGCATTTTGTCTTCTCTCAGCATTGAAACACCCCCCCTTCACCTGCAGGCCAGGACCTGGCATGAGCTGTGCCTACCTCAGTTACCGGCTTTGCTCCATCAACCCAGCTGTGCTGCTGCACACCCCATCTACTAACAGGACAGTCGCTACCTGAGTGCCGGTTATGCTAATTAAGGATCGTGACTCTCCCACGAGACGGGCAGGTGACACCATCCCCGTCTCACGTCGTTAGATGGTTGCAAATGCCAGAGCGGCTTGTCAGGGGCGAGGAGGTCTCGGCGGGAGGTCGCCTAGCCTCTGGAAAGGTCTGCCCGACGCGGCGGCCGGCACGAGCCTGAGCCCCAGCCGTCACCTGGACCGGCTGTGGGTGCTGAGGCGGAGGCGCCTGTGAGGGCAGGGCGGCCGCGGGGGCAGGAGGATGCTCCCGGCCGCTGCCGCGGATGCTCCCGCTGCCGCTGAGTGGATGCGCTCTACGGAAAGCAGATGGGTGAGTTTTGGGGTTTTCTTATATATTTTTTTTTAAAAAAAAAAAAAAAAAAGAAAAGAAAACATAAACGACGAGAGGAAGAAGAGAGGGAGAGCCATGGGCCGGCACCGCGCGCCGGCCACGGGGGGAGGTGGGGGGGGGGGGAGGAGGCGGCTCCGCCAACGGCCGCTGCCTCGCACCCCCGGCGCGCGCGGGGCGGGGCGGAGCGCCCACCGCCCTCACGGGACAGCGCCTGGGAGGCGCCGGGCGGGGGGGGGTTGGGGTGTCCCTGCCGGGCGGCTGTGAGACAAGGGGTCGCGGGTCCCGCTCCCCCCGCCCTCGGCGCGGCTCGCACTCACCACGGTGACGGGGGACACCATGGCGGCGGCGGCGGGGCGCGTCCTGCTGCCGCTGCTGTTACTGCTGTAACTGCTGCTGCTGCTGCTGCTGCTGCTGCCACTACCGCTGCTGCTGCTGCTGCTGTTGTTGTTGTTGTTGTTGTTACTGTCACTGCTGCCGCCCTGCCTGCCCGTCTGCCTGCCGGGGCGCTTTTTCAGACAGCGGTGACGTCACCAAAGAGGGGGCCCCCGCGGCGAATGCGCTGCGGGGAACGGGCGGGGGGCGGCCCCGGCCCCGCCCCCGGGGCGGGCAGCGCGAGCCGGCGCACGGTTCCCTCAGCGCCCGGCGGCTGCGATGGCGGCGCCGTCCCCCCCCTCCCGGCGAGGCGCCTGTCCGGCAGCGCCGGGTCCCGCGGGGTCCCGGGGACAGGCGGCAGGGTTGCGCCGGTCCTTGCGAGCCCCGGTCACAGCCCGTTGCCGGGCCTGGGGGGAGGCGGCGGGGCTCCCTCCCGAAAACGCGCTCCCCGTGCCGGAGCGGCGCTAGCGAGGGCTCGCTGCTCCGGCCGCTCGCTCTCGGCCGAGAAAAGCGTCGGCCCGTTGAGCGAAGCGGCTTTCCCCGCGTGCCGAGGGGCGGCAGCAGCCGGGTCTTGCCGCCCGCCCCTCGGTGTCGGGACCGCGGCGGCAGCGCCCGGAGGCCGGCCCGGCCCGCCGCCTTCGCCCCGGCACTGCCCGCAGCTGCCGGGGCCAGGCCCGGGGCGGGGGGGCAGCGCTCCGGCCCCCCGGCCCCTGCCCTTGGCCTCCCTCGCCTTCCTGCGCCTGCCCGCCTGCCGGTCTCCTCCCCTTTCCTTTCACAGCCTCATTTCTTGCACAGACCCCTGCGTCCTTCCACCCCTTCTGATCACCTTGACTCCACACCGCCCCGCACTTCCCCCTTTTTCCCTTTCCAAGGGCTTCTCTCAGTTCACGGCTGCCCCCTTCACGCCGCCATATTCAGACCCGCAGGTGCCCGGCAGACGCGTGTTCTCCAGCCCTGTGCCTGCTCCCAGCAGCTGGTGGTGGCCGCTGTGCCCCCCCAGGAGCGGGTCCTCCCCAGCTCATTCCCCTTCCCCATCCTCCTGCCGAGGTCATCCACGGGCTGCACAAATGTTAGTGTTGGCACAAAGACAGGGTGAGGAACGTGTGATGGGGGATAAGCGAGAGTGGAACACAGCAGCTCAGAGTTACTGAAGTGACCCTGGGACTACCTTCAACCTGGTTTTACTTGAGGATTAATACTTAAGGATGCAGGAAACCACTTTATGTGTAATATGATCTTGCTCAAAAGTTGCACTTCATAACAAAACAAACAGGTACTTAAATAGTAGATGATTAAGTAATCTGCTATTTACAGCCTGAGCAAAAGTCATGTTCAGTATCACATCAAGGGAACATTTTATTCTATAAAGTAAAAAAAAATATATCTGTGCAATTCTCTTGCAGTCTTTGTGCAATAGATTGGTATCATGTTTCTGAGGACAAAATATAAACAAACAGCAGTCCCAAGACCCCACACAGGCAACACGATCTATATCAATAGAGATGTGTAAATAAGAGGGAGAGGGCCATGTTTGGCCCATCCCCATCCAATGGGACTGGGATGGATGCTACAACATTTGCGTCATTTACCAATCTGAGGGGGATTTCTACCCAAGAAAAGAAACTGCAAATCTGCACTAGCAGATCAGAGGGGCATTGCACTGAAATCTGTGGCAAGTAAACCTCAATCAGATCAAAGCAAACTGCTCTCTCTACAGCAAAGTCTCACATGGCCGCAGTCAGGGGATCGAGTGCTGTTCTTACCATTTCAATTAAAATAGTTCATAGAGCAATAATATTTTCATTAAACAAGAAGAGAAAGATAAGCTTTCTTTTTTGGGGGGACAGCTAGGTGAGCTAGCGAATGGGAATAAATTTCACAGCTTTTCACAATGAAGGTTCTTCCCTGCTGAAATCAAGGGAGATGGTCCCTACCAGAAGAAGCACAAGGGAGCAGAGATATTTAGATGTCCAAGGATGCAGTTGATTTGATACTATACAGGATTTTCAGAAGGACCAATGGACTCTTAGAACTTGCATTCCTAATTGCTTTTGAAAATCCTTCTGGGAGCTTGATTATGTCTTGGCATTTAAATACCTCAAAAAAAAAAAAAAAAGAAAAATCGTCTGTTCCCTGGTCCTTAGCCAAACGCTTCGTCTGCTTATCCTGGCCTTTATTTAAGTCACGAGCCAGGCAGCGCAAGGGGTAGGGGCACGTCTGCATTCCAGTATTGTCTCTGCTGCTCCAAAAGTGGGAGATGATAGCAGGGTGGATGCAGCTTTGCATTTGTTCTTTAATGCAGTATCTGGCTCCACTGGTTGCCAGCTGAAGCTTCACCTGGTCTCGCAAATGAGGTATTTCTCTGGGTTGTTGATGCAAACATTCAAAATATGTGAACGCTTTGGGGTGGGTTTTCATGCTATGTTATTAGCCTAAATAAAACCTATCACAAGTGAAGGGGAAACTGTTTGCATGTCCTGACTTTCCCATCTCAGATGGGCACTGGGGAGCTCAATCTCATTAGTTTTGCTTGGGAGGAGGTTGACCTTTTGTGATCTCCAGATGGTTCCTTCCACAGACCTTTTGAAAATAGATTCAGAAGCCCTAACGGCAAATATGGTATTTATATGTAATAAGGAGATAGCTTCTATGACAAAGATTTTACAACCTCAATATAAGGTGAAAATTTTTTGTTGTTGTTTATTTAATACTAGATTAATTTAATGTAACTCACAAGATTTTTGATGGGATGATCTCCATTTTTCCACTATCAAAACAAGTGCTACATCAACGATAAGTAATTCCTTGTAAGTAAGGAACACCTTGGAGTATAAATTAGGAATTTGAATAGTGCAGAAATGTTTTACATTTCACTTTACATTTTATCTAAATTACATTTTAGCTACATTTTATCTAAATAACAGAAATATTTTACATTTAATCTAAATCAGGGGCACCTTGGATTATAAATTGGGAATTTGGATTGAGCAGGAATATTTTACATTTTATCTAAATGCAAGCTCTGATAGAACAGGTCCTGGAACAAATCCATTCCCACTGTAGAAACACCAAGCAACAGATGAAGCAAACAAAGGGAATGGAGGATCAATGGCTTCATAACGCAGTCAAATTTGTCTTGGTCTGTGCATGCCATGCATTTGGTGGGGTTTTTTTGATGGTGGTATTGCAGTCTCCTGACTAGTGCAAGCAAGAGAGATTTCATGTGGCTCATCACAATATTTTGTTCTATATCAACTGCAGGGATTTAACAAAAAATAGAAAACAGTTCTAATTTGGGGTGTGTGTGGTATTTTTAACTCGCTATCAGTAGGCAAACAGAGCGCAGTAATTACGTGATCATAAATTTATGGGGGTTGGGTGTAGCAAAACAGAGCATTAAGTACTTCTGTGCATGTTTGTGCTTGAAAATGCTTCTGCTGGGCCATGTTTGTGGTGGGGGAAAAAGAAAGCAAGAGAAGTCCTATCTTCAACAAGGCTGCTACACAGCCAAACTTTTTCTGAAGGATCCCATGTTGTTCAATCTACTGTACATACCCTGTGGTTCTGTCTGTGTGCAGTAGCTCCGTGGCTCATGCAGGAATATTATTTCTTTTTAAAACTAACCACTGTGCATTTCAATAATAGCTTGAATCTTTCTCTTCTCTTTATTTTTTTCCACTGGTTTATTCTCCTGTTGGAGAAATGCCAGTCCATGGACTTCACCAGTCCCTCCTAGCTGGGTCCTTCCCTGAAGCCCAGTGCATCAGGAAGACTCACAACTCTACCTTGTGAAAGACAGTTCAAACATGTCCAACAAAGACACTCTCTTTCAACAAGTGATTGCCTTCACAGTGCAAGGGTCTGTGGATATTTGCATGAAAAAGAACATATGGGTATTTATAGGAAAATGTTGCGACAACCATAAAGCTCTATGTTTTCCAACAGTTTATTATTCCAGGAGGTTGTCCTTCCACCAGCAATGGCTGGAAGAGCAGCAAAACATTTCTTACATTCAAGTGCCTGCGGAGCGAGGGGGGCCCATCTGCTCTACACTGGAACCAGCTCTGCCAGTTGACCATGGAGGCACATGCTTCGTTTTGCACTTTCAGATTTACTATTAAGACAAAAGTGCCTGGGAATTAAACTACTGAGGAACCAGAAACACGAGTGTTGTTAAGTGCTGGAAAAGTCTTATTTGAGACTCATCTGTGTGAGATGCTCCTTGCTGGCTGCTCCGAGCACTGTGCGCCCAGGTCCCAGGACAGCAGCGTTCATGTCAGCCGCTGTGGGCTTCCTATTTTGCCATATCCAACTCTATTTAGGCCTGTTTGTGGTTTGCGTACTGGTCGTTGCATTAGTTCCTGACACTTCTCATGTCAAGTAATCTGGTGTTTCCCCCTGTGCATAAGGACATACTGGGCTGTTTCCTTTCTGTACAGATTTATTTTCTGATGCCTAGAGAAATTCAGAAAGTGCCTTTGCTACCCTCATGATGGCAATTCCCATAATGATAATAAAGTATTAAATTTACACTGCAGAATTAACTTCTCAGTGAAATAAAGGGAGGACACTACAAATTCACGCCTCCTGAGGGCACTTTCTCAGGCTATTTACTGAGCCAGGAAGGCAACAAAACATCTATTTATAGGCTTTGTATTTGAAGGTTTTCTTCCCAGGCATAAAATCAATTTGCTCTTTGGGCTTAATAAATGCCATGTGTATGTCTATGCATACATGTATATGGAATAGTTAGTATTTCTAGAGACGAGTGCGTGTATAGCTAAGCAGGATCCAGAATGCAGGTCCATTATGGGACTTTGCTTGTTTGTAATTGGCTTATACCCTTATAGCCATGAAAACAAGCACATTAAAATCTTACTAAAAAGATTAATGTGGAAGGAAAAATATTCTCAGTTTTTTTAAATTCTTCATTCTACAGCATGGAAGTAAATCATAAAATCTAAAATGTTTACAGTTTATAGTATCACAGAATGGTTTGGGTTGGAAGAGACCTTTAAAGATCATCTAGACCAAACGCCCTGCCATGGACAGGGACACCTTCCACTACATCAGGTTGCTCAGGGCCCCATCCATCCTTACTTTGAGCATTTCTGATCATGGGGCATCCACCCTGACTCAGGTGCAGGACTT